CTCACACGCAGCTGAGGAGCCCCGCAAGATGCCAGAATACCCAAGTTGGTCTCCTCCCCGGCGGTCCTGCAAATCAGAAGGGGGAGAGGCAGCGAGAGAGTTTCAAAGCACTCGGTACGAAAAACAAACAAAAATCAACGGCAGCTGAGCTTTCCTCCTGAAACTACAGTAGGCTGGTGCCTTAATCATACAATGAGGCATTCACCTGGTCTCAGAATGCTTCCCTGGCTCGGGAGCCAGCGGTCATCCGAAGGGCAGGCAGGCCCTGGGGCTAAGAGGGAAGTTCTGCGTGACAGTTGGGGGAGTGGCAGTTGGAGCTCGGGGTGGGCTAGGCATCCTGCTGCTTCCAGAAGACAGGGCGTCATCACCTTCTCCCAAGCAGGAGGAAGACCCCCACGATTATTTCAAATAAGGAAGATTTGTTTATGACAAAGCAGGCACTGTTTTTTCTGGGGGATGATAACGCGCCCCGCCCCCCCATGATATAGGGAGATGCCTTCCCGGGGCGGCAGGCCAGTGAGGAGCCGGGGAAGCCCGATTCGGGCTGTTGGGTGAGAGAAGTCAGATGACGAGGTAGGAGGGCAGCAAGGAGAGGCATGGGAGCAGACACTTGTCCTGAATGGAGAGTGTTGCTGAGAACAGGCTGACTGACCTATTAACCCACTCACTACACTGCTCATCAGTGCGTGCCTACTGTGTGCGGGGCATGGAAGAAACCCAAAGAGGAAAAAAGCAAGCTTCCTGTTCTCAGCACTCTCACTGTCCTGTGGAGGCGACGTGGGTGCAAAGGTACACCGTGAGGTCGAGGAGGGAAGAGTCAGAGCGAGGAAGGAGTCGAGTGAGAGCAGAGTCGGAGAATGGAGTTGTGTCTTGAGCTGATTCTGGAGAGGACAGGGTGGGGTTTGAAGTGCTGGGAGGGAGCACATTCCAGGCAAAGGGAACACCCTGAGCACAGGGCACGGGGCTGGGAGCCGTGGGACACCCGCACAACAGAGTAATCGCGTCAGGTTCTAACACGGAAGGTATGTCCACAGACGGAGATGGACATGATGAAGCCCCTCCTGAGGATGAAAAAGGGGACGGTCAGCAAGCTCATCTGCCTGGGCTCCCCCCTCGTGCACCTGCCCCCACTTTCATGGGTCTCACTCACCCTCTGTCCCGACCACAATCTCTCTCCCTAGTTTGAAGTCAGTAGACAATTTGAGTTAATTAACGTTTTCCCAAAATTGCATGTCAGGAGGGTATAATCAGTGACTTGACTTATGATCAAAAAAATGCTTCCTCCTCCTCCTCCTCTCTAACTGGCCTCAGAATCAACCTCAATCAGGCACTTACCGAATGTAGACGTTGTTTACAACCTCACCCGCACTAACTCACCGACTCCTCACCTCGACCCTGTGAGGTGCGTGCTCTTGTCATCCTGGTCGGCCCGGTCAGTAAGCGGGGACACGGGCTCTGCCCCGGAGCTGCACAGGACAAGGGCATGAGTGCTCAAGGAGTCCCACGCTGCCCATATCCACCAGGACACAAAATGGGATGAACAGTACTCTCTTTGAAACCAGACTGTGATATGTTCTATGCATCTGCTCTCCCCTTTTTTTTTTAATTTTAAGAGTTTTGATTAATGAACCATGCAACACCTAAATCATGCAAATTAGCCTGCATGGCAGCACTGATAATCTCCTGGGGAATTCAGCTCTTTCCCTTGGTGTTAATTTGAAGACCCTAGGGGGTATTTATTCCTGTCTTCACAGCACACACTTGCTCTATCACCCACCCACGCACACACACACACACAGTGAGCAGAATTTCCTCAATTTTCTCAGGTATCCCCACAGGCACAGATTGTCTCTGTCTCTGTGTGCAGTTGAACCCTTCCCCTGCGTCCAGGCTGGTCTCTCTCTCTGTCTTTGTTTCAGTCTGAGATCTCTCCCTGGCACCTGGGCACCAGGGAGCCCAGCCTGGCCAGTTGTGGCTCATGCTCTTCCTGAGGCCCCAGCAAGGGAGCAGGGGATTGGGTCACTGACTTCATTGAGTTGCCTTCCTGAGTTCTGTCCTCACATCCATTTCCCTCACCTCCTGACTTGCCCCTCCACCCCTGGCCCCATCACCTTCTCTGCCTAGCAGCCCTGTCTGTCCCCATGGCACACCACTCTGTTACACCCTAGTGTGGTCTGCACAGGACTTGCGGCTTTGCTTAGAGAAGACCCACTTACTGACTTAAAACTATGAGCCAAGTTTAAGAACAGATCAAATCTTCACACAGCCCTGAGGTGGGCAATACCGTCCTCATTTTACAGACGATGACCCGAGCTACATGTGGAGGCCCGGCTGCCAGTCCTTGAATGAGACCCGAGCCACCATACACTGCTCTCTCCAGCTGGGAGAGGATTTCTAAGGCTGAAAACCTGCCAGTGTTTCCCTTTTCCCATTTGTGATATTTTCTTTCTTCCTTTTTTTTAAATAAAAGGAACACATGATGTGGTGAAAAAAATTCAAACAATACAAAATGAAAAGTGAAAAGTCTTCCTCACCGATTCTGTTACCATCAGTTGACAACAGTTTTCTGTCTAAAGGACTAAAACAAGTATTCATCACACACATACAGCTTTTATATTTCCATAAAGTGATCGTATTTTATACATTGTTCTGTAAATTGCTTTCTTTCCTTTATCTTTTCATTTCTGCATGCAGAAGAGCCTCAAATAGTTTCCTGTGTCACTCGGGATGTAATCCAAAGTCTTTACTTTGGCCAACATAATCTTGACGAAAAACTTGACAAAGATATTACAAGAAAGGAAAATTATAAGCCCATCTTACTCATGAACACATGCAAAAATCTGAAAAATATTAGTAAACCAAATCCAGCAATATGGGAAAAGGATAGTAAATCACAGCCAAGTTGGGTTCATTCCAGGAGTTGCAATGTTAATTTAACATTCAGAAGAATATCCACATAATGAACACATTAACAGATAAGTATTATGATCATCTCATAGAGAAAACCATTTGATAAAATTGTACACATTTGTGATGAAAACAGAAATCGAAGGGAAATTTCTTAACCTGACAAAGGGAATCTACGAAATCTACGGTGTCAGAAGTCAGGTATAGTGGTAAGGGGCAAGTAGGGGCTTTTGTGGTAGTAATGTTCTATTTCTTGACTTGGTAGTTGGAGTTACTTTGTGATAAAAGGGGTAAAAGTGGCCTTCTTCCTGATGATCTCAGAAGGGTGAAGGGTGTGACCACAAGCTGCAGGAGCTGACAAAAACAGGAGATGGAGATGGGGGCCGAGGAGGAATGGAGGAAACAGGGTGTTGGGTGTTCATACATGTGGATGTTGACCCACCCCAGGACAGTGTCCTATGATGGAGACGAAGCTGGTGAGCCACGGGTCAAGGTTCTCAGTGAATGAGAGGGAGTAATTTGTGGATGAAGTGCAAAGAGAAGTATACACTGGGAGATGGAGACATGCATTAGGGGGCATGAAATTCACCACCTAGATGCCCTTCACAGAGTGCATGGTTCTAAAACGAGACAACAGTCCTTATCTATTTTCCTCAATCACTTTTACGGTTGGTCTTAATCCCCATACAGGTCCTGGAAAGTAGTTAATATTTTGTTCTACTATTGGGGAAACGTAGACTCAGAACAAGAATGCCTGAGCCGCAGCCCAGGCACCAGGGCTCTTTGAGGGCCTTCGAATGTGGTGTCAGAGCAGAGGTTGTGTCGGCCTGAGGTCCAAATCACGGTCCCTCTGTTAATCATCAGTTAACAGTAAAACAGGGATAGTAACTCCTTTCAGGGTTGTCATAAGCACTATATGAGATTTTGTGACATCGTAGGCGTTCAATACAAGTTTTCTTTCTTTCCCTGGGCCATGCCACCAGCATATGCATTGAGATGTCTCCAGGTGTATCAAGTCTAGAAAACCCAGGATCCTGAAAACAGGTACCTACCACTACACTATGAAGTGAGGCTGAAAAGCAGAGACCCTTTTCCCTGGTGAGGCCCGTTCTAATTAGCGACATTAATAAGAGGGGAACTGGCTTGTCATAATGCTCTTGTCTGGGCCAAACCAGTTGTTTGCCTTTCCACTCTCATGCTCACTGGCGTGCTGATCAGAGGCTACAGGACCTGTGATAACATCATCATCCAACAGCTTAGGAACGTGTGATTGACATTGTAGGCTTTAAAATGTGCTTCTAGGGCGCCTGGGTGGCTCAGATGGTTGAGCGTCTGCCTTCGGCTCAGGTCGTGATCCCAGGGTCCTGGGATCGAGTCCCGCATCAGGCTCTCTGCTCCTTGGGAGCCTGCTTCTCACTCTGCCTCTCTCTCTCTCTGTCTCTCATGAATAAATAAATAAAAATCTTTAAAAAAATAAAAAATAAATAAAAAAATAAAAATAAAATGTGCTTCTACTCCTAATGCATAAATGTCCATGGATACAACCCATATAAATAAAAGCATTTGGGGTTCTAAATTATAATTTTTAGGACTGTAAAGGCGTCCTCGGCCAAAGTGTCAGATTAGCAAATAAAAATACAGCACACCTAGTTAAATCCGAATTTCAGATAAACAACGAACACTGCATGGGATACACGCATATCAAAATATTATTCGTTGCTTGTCTGAAATTCAAATTTAATTTGGTGTTCTGCATTCTACCTGCCAATCCCAGGCCTAAAGCCAAAAAGTTTGCCAACATCTTTCGCCAGAAGGCGATCGAGGCCCGAACTACAGTCCACTTCCAGAAGTCCCGGGTGGGCACTTCCGGTCGCGGGGGGTGGAGCCAGCGCGGCGCAGGCCCCACCCATCGCCGGAAGCCTTCCAGGCCAGGCCCCGCCCCCGAGCCCGCCTCCCGGCGCTGTGGGCTGCCCGAGGCTGGTACCGGTCGCAGAGCGGGTGGAACCGCCTTCCTGCCTCCAGGGGGCAGCGGCCTCCCTCGGGTCCCTGCGTGGACAGCTCGGCGCCCGCGCCGCTCTTCCTGTCGCTGGGAGTGGCGGGCCGACCAGCGGGCGGCCCGGGCCGGCGGTCGCCATTCCCGTGTCGCTGCGCCCGCGGGGGCCGCCCGAGCCCGCCACGATGCCACTGGGCCTGAAGCCCACCTGCAGCGTCTGCAAGACCACCTCGTCCTCCATGTGGAAGAAGGGCCCGC